ATTATTTTAAATAATTCAAAATAAAAATAGATTGCCAAAACACTATTATGTAATTTTTTTCATATATCATTTCACATTTAAAGTGTATTATTTACATATCTAAATTTCAATATATCTACGTATAGATTCAGTACGTTTACATGTATTCAATATGTTTACATATATAAGGTAAAATATGAGTTATATATTTATATTATTTTAAATCATGATATATCATATTTTGAAGCCCTTGTCACTTTTCTTTCAACCTCCCACGACAGAATAACAACTGCCTCATTTGCTGTGTCAAGGAATGTTTCATTAGTAGAAATGGTTCATATTTGCTCACATTTTTCCAATACAGATTTTTTAATACATTCGTTAATAAAATTCACCTTTTAGAATTTTTTTTGAAATTTCATTTCTAGATAAATCAAATAAAGAAAATAATATGAAGCTTTTGTTGCAAAGAGGGAAAATAATAAAATTTTTGATTTTGTTGAAATTAGCATTATTTTGTAATTGTTGAATCAATAATCAATGAAGATGGAAAAACGCATTCTGAGTTTTAGTAGAACTGTAATTTGGACGGGTGAGTATTTACTGCTTCATTTTTTTATTTGAACCCATATCTAATTATAAATTTTCAGCCCCAGAAATCTCCTGAATTACTTCCAGTATCAGCAGTTATCCATTGAAGAACTTCCTTATAGGATGAAAACGTTTGACTGTCACCAAAACAATTTTATAATATACTATAACATTTAAAATTTTCGTTTTCCGTATTTTAGCAATTTTAATGCAATTTTTTAATTTTTATTGCCATAATACATTTACTTAAGTTAGGTACCTGAAGCCATTTATGAACAGAGACTTATTTCACAAGTGTTTATTTTAGCGTAAACTTAGTACATCTGTTTTCATTACAAAGTTTATAACTTATTATAAATTAATAATAAGTTACAAAATAAAAATCTGATGTGTACACCACATGACTTCCTTGAACGGATTATTCAATTATACGCATTTTTCCCCCATTTTATTTAAACGTATTGGATTGAATTAAATCTCTTCGTCGATAGCGCATAAACCACAATAGAATAAATGCACTCTTTAAAATTCACTATATTTGTTTACCATAGCGACACTCATCGCTAGGTTCACTTAACAGCGTTATATTTTTTTCATATTATAACTCTTATGACTTACTTTTTTCTGGTCATTAACTACTATAGAGTTTTCGCCAGTAGATCGCATTAAAGTGCACTAGGCAAAGATATTTCCAAATAAATGGTACTAGGGAAGTACCAACACCCGTGGGGCGAAGAAAATTCAGCTGCGTGAGCAGGCGTATCTTAATACTTACGAAAGTAGGCGTCCATCATAAAAAGTGTACAGTGATAAGCAATGGCATTAAATTGAAGCATGCAGGCAGGTGAAGTGAGTTATATATTATAACTCAGAATGCACAAAATTTATATCATTAGAATAATTATGTAATCGTTGCCACTTCTATTCAAATACTATAATAAAGCTAGAACGATGTATAAAAGAAATTAAACAAAACAAAAAAGAAACATTTTTTTACAGATGATTTAGTATTTCTCATTCAATTAATTCATTTCTCGCAACAAGGCAAAAATACATAAAAACTCAAAATATCTATATTAAATTTACGAAGTAAATCTTAAACACTTATTTCCTCGAAAAAATAAGCATGCTTTAATTCGCAATAATAAATGGAGACGTTATCTCTGTTGTTGCGAAGTTTAGTCTCTCTAGATTTACAACAAATCTACTATTCTGCTGTTTCAAATGTAAATAAATGTATCCGTCATGTTATTTAAAGATTAGGCTTAACCGCACTTAAACGGCTTTTAAATTGTTGATATGTGTACAAATATTGCTTGCAGATTTAAGAAATGCATAAAAACTTTAACAGGAAGATAAGAACAACATTATTCAATAATTTTTAAAGCAAAAAATGTACAGTTTACAAACATATAAGAGCAAAGAGACTGAGATCACTGAGCCGGCTAAGAGTGGATATATATATAAATATATTTATATACGTTTGGCGCAGCCGATTGCAACCAAAATACGAGGTGCACATCTGCATGTTATAACAGTCCTATATACAAAATTTCAAGTTCTGAGGCTACTCGTTTTTGAGTTATGCGAGATACGTACGTACGTACGTACATACGTTCGTACAGATGCCACGAAAAACTCTTCAAAATTTATTTTAAAGCAGTTTTATAATTTTTTTGAAGGATAAGAGTCTTTTATTCTGTCCTTACGTTCAGATGTCACACAAAAGCATCGTTAAATTGCATTCGATAGCGGTCAAAATGGATATTTTCGTTGAAATACGCTGCCTGAAACTTTTCGCGATTACAATACTTCCTTTTTACTTCGTACAAGGAAGTAAAAATAAGCACAAGAATGGTTTTACGGTTTACCGTTTTGGATTAGATCGAGATGAGATGGATGAGTCGATGATGCGTAATGGATTAGTTTTCATTAAGCTGGGGTTTAACCATACTTTGAGAAATTTCTTTAGTATCATTAAGCAATGCTGTTTCTGTCCTTTCATTCAAAGAAAGAGAAAAATATAAACAAAAGAACTTGGAGTTTGGAGATATCAATGACGTTACGGAACAGGTAAATGACAAAGAAATTCACAGTATTAGTTTTGTTTGAAATCTGAATATTTCTTTAATGTTTTAAATTACATCATCATACGTACATTTAATATTAAATATTATACCGTTAAAATTTAAAAAGAAAAATAACGTTTAATAGTTAATATTTAAATTATAATGCCGTCTTAACAGGTATGGTGGATAGCGTTGATACCCTGATACCCATTTGTCTTGTTCGGAGAAGTTTTGAATGTTTGTAAACGTATAAGAGTTTGCGACATGGACGGCGCTTAAAATACACATCGAGTCAAAGAGTGGCTTGGTGGTAGGGAAGGCTGGGAGATCCCTAGACCATTCCGATGGATATTCTTTTTTAAAATTCGAGCAAAACTAGGCGAAGTCCTACTATCACTTATTTTTCGAGTATCTTTCAAAATATCAGCGAGGGTAGCAAAACATTTTTAACTGGTTAAGACACAATAACACGCCGAATAAATACTAATTCAGAAGTCAAACAACAAAAACCAGCGTTATATTTACAAAATTTTCACAGGTAGGAAATAATGATTAATCATTATTTCCTATCTTATTCATTTGCGGTTTTGCAGCTGAGGATGGTGGTTCGGTAAAACCATCGAAACTAGTCCTGTGAAAATTTTGTAAATATAACGCTGGTTTTTGTTGTTTGACTTCTGAATTAGTATTTTTAACTGGTACCAACACGGTGACACAAAATTTCGACGAGGCCCATCAGGAGCGTTTTCGCTCATATTTGGAGTGTTGACTTAGCTATTTTAACAATTTAAGCATTATTCGCTTTAGGATTGGAAGATCTACAAACGAATATAAAAACTAGACCTTTATATAGGAATCATGTAGTCACACGCTGAATAACAATCAAAATAAATCCTAAATCTCCTTAATCTATAAGCAACAAATAAGCAAAAAAACTAAATAAAACAATTTACAATATTACACAAATTCACAAAGCAACAATGCAAATGAAAGAATTTCAATACTTATAGAAATTTACAATAATACTTTATAAGAAAGTGTGTTAACAGAGTAGAAATGATTCATTTTTGTAAATTTATTATTACACTGTCTGAATACTTCATTCAAACAGTAAGACAAAAACTGGGCAAAGCTGAAAAATACCATTGAATTTAAAGCAAATTTATTTATTCACTTAGGTTTACAACTTGTATTCGCTCCAACCTATTTATTCTAGCTCTTTAATCCAGTTATTTTTCTGTTTTATCTTTAACTTCATTACCTTCGTGTATTTCTTTACTAAGTCCAATCTAGTTCTCTTTTAGAATCTGCACATATTTCTGAGTTTTCATTTATATTTAAGAATTTCTGAATCTCAACGAAGACCGATACTGTTATTTCTTCTTCAGATAGGATTTTCTTCCGAAAGCAGATTTGCGGAATGCGATTTCGCGTATAGACTTTGTCTTATTTATTTCCATTTAATTTACCCAACGTCAGAATTTCACACGCGGTTCAACGTTCATTCATCTTCTCTGGGTGCTTGCTCGCATCATGTCTGTCTAGATGTTACCAGCAATTTTATAGGATTTCTATCGACGGAAAATGAAACCAAAGAAATCGTACAAATTGAGTAACAGGTGGGGAAGGATTTTCAAAGAACGAGAAGTCAAAGAATTAATTGAGAAATGACGAATGAAGAACTGGATGATGTTATAACACCAGAAATCAGTGAAAGCAGTTATAGTGAAGAAGATAAATCGCCTTTGATTTACGAGAATTGTTAAGAAAAGCACATGAACTATCTGAGTTTGCAAAGGATATTGACTGAAATGAAGAAAGCAGAGGACACTACATCAGAGGCATTGAAAACCTCTGGGCACCTTTTTACGAAAGAGTTGCGTCTCTCGTTGTCCCAATCAAAATTCAGTATAATTTTTAAAAATAATTTTATCATATACTTATTAAGCAGTAATAAAAATCCTTTAAATGAGCATTTGCTTCATTTTTTCCTTTTTGATTACAACAATACTTAGGTTTGTTTAAGTTATGCTTACTTTCTTAATCTTTTTCTTACCTAATACATTTTTAAGATCGAAATTAAATTTGCGAAACGTGATTTTGCCGTAGACGTAATCACGCTTATGCTAAGCGATTACTGCACTTCTAAAACTTTTGCAAAATCTGAATTCAGTCCCGTTATAAGCTACGGGATATGCTACTACTTAAAATGCGGCTAAAACGTTACATTAAACTTCGCGTAAAATTCCTTCCAGTTAATTATTGAATGGTATTGCATTTGTATTTAATTATCAATTAAATTATTTAATACTCTTTATTAAGTTATTAATGCAATTAAATTGTGTTTTCTTTATATTTCAGGTTGCTGGTGGGCATACAGCTCAGTTTTATTTTACATCTAGTCGCCTTTTTTAAATCTCTGGACTATATTTTTGCACGTAAGTAAAACTCTTTGAACCTGTTTTAAAATTTAATTTCCAGTTTAATGAAAAAGAAATTAATACTTTATGGCTAACCGTTTTCCAACTTTCAATACTGCTGCATTATTTTTGTTCATTTTCGTTTACTTTCTACGTAGTTTTGAGTTCTTTTTATTATTCTTTTTGCATAGGTATTTACCACTAATTATTGGTACGAGTGTATACTTGTTTTCTTAGAGTGTGTTTGCATATAAGTGAATCTCTCAATTCAATTGGGACTTGTTATACTATTGATTATTTTTACGGAAATTTGTGCAGAACGGTTTTAAGTCTCAGATGGTCTAGAGGAATGAAGTATGTATTCGGAACTCATTAATCGACCAAGCTTAAAGTTTCAAATACTCTTCCGTTGACAAGTTCTGTTTGAAAAGGTAAATAGGCAGATCAACATTATGTTTTTCTTTTGTCCACTTTTTTGCAATCAAATGTACTTTTCGCTGTTACTTTGATGAATTTTAGTACACCTTGTAGAGACATTAGGTATTTTTTGGAAGCAGGCAAGATGAAAAATATGCAACGCCTTCGCCGGGAATCGAACCACGGACCTCTGAAATACGCGCCCAGCGTGCAGACCATCACAACACGATGGCAGACCATCACACTTTATAACCTTAAAGTTGTTCCGATTCCTGTTTCACATGCAGTGGGTTTAATAATAGTACTTCACCACACCTTTCCTTAGACAGGATAATTAAAATTTCCTTTTACACATGCCTTAGTATTTGATTATATTTACCTTTCGTTAAAATTGATTATATATATATATATATATATAGTATCACACAATTTTTCTTTAAAAACATAATTATTCAAGATGTTCGATGTTCTGTTGTATTCTGAATATAAATTTAAACAAAAGATATGCATAACTTTATTGATAGCACTGGACAGCATCCCGTTATTACAGTAATCTCACCCCCCCCCGTAATATGAGACTTAGGGGGGGTTAATTCGCGGTTTAAGGCAATGACATTAATATGAGAACTCCGTATATCAGTTTTTTAAACTAGCGGCCCACAAAGCAATTTTATACGGCCCGTGAATAGATCTCAATTGCTTATTTGTTGGAAATATTTCAAAAGATTTTAGTTTGCTCACCTCCAAGTTAACATTGTTTTTAATACCGTTAATAACGAACTTGAATATCTGATTAGATCTGAAAATCTTATAACTTCTGTTCGTACGTGGCAAAAGAACAAGTGTGCTTGGTTAGGAATTTTTTAACTAAGTGTAATCACTTTGCTTTAGAAGCATTTAGATGTGAACAGATTTTTTTTCAGAGTTGAAAATTAATCAGAAAAGAATCGATTGATCATCTGATTGAGCATCTACAGTACGTGATCAAGGTAATTTCCAGCATTTTCTTACAAACGTAATCAGAAACGAAAGGCCAACTATCAAGATGTAGTAAGAAACAAAAACGGGGGGTGTTTATAATTATTTGTAAATAATTATAAACAAAAACGTTTATAATTATTTACAAACAAACATTTTTAAACATATGTCTTGAAGAAAAATTTAATAAATAGGAGAAAGGAACTAAATTGTAATTATTAATTCTCAGATTTGTTCCACTTTGAAAGTTTTTTCTGAAAATAAAAAAAAAAAAAAAAAAAAATCATATTCTGCTCAAATTTAATTTAAATTAAAGTAAGCGGAATGCTTTGTTAAATTTCTTTACTTGGCAACGCATGATAATAAGTAATTTCGTTTTATAAAATTTTTTGTTGAAGCTGAGTAAGTAAACTTGTTTAAACTTAAAATACTGAACGTGTCTTTTATTACTTTATTCCAAATCAAAAGCTAGATAATTCATCAAAAGTATAAACTTTGAATTGTATTCTTAATATAGGATATCATTTAGAAAACTGATAACATATAATACGTAGATTATAGATTTCCATAAAACATTTTATTAAAATCTTTCGCTATGATAATTGAAATAAAAGGTATAATATTAATTTTAATTTAGTCGAACGGGGAAAATTATTTCCAGTTCTTTAATTTAGTTTATTAGCAGCTTGTAAAATTTACTGAAATACCAGCTCATTATTTTATAGTTTTATTATTTCCTCTATTTAGTAAATGCACATTACTTTTAATTAAAAAAAAATTAATTTGTCTTAATACAGTCTTTATTTCTTAATGTAATGAAAGTTATCTTGTATAAACAGCAATCAAAATTTGTATAAATAATATTCTATTCGTTGCTTTAACTGATAACCTTAAACTGATAACTGATAACATTAAATGATAACCTTAATGAAAACTGATAACCTTAAATGAGTCTAAAATATTGTTCAGATTCTTCTGGTAAAATATTTGGCCCCATGCAAAAATTAAAGAAATTTGTAAGAAATTAACGCAGGTTAACCTACTTGTTCGCATAATTTGAATGCTATATAAATATCATATTTCCACTTCTAGGAGAATTAAAATGAAGTGAATCTATCATACGAATCTATAACGTCCGTGTAACAGTAGAACAGGCATTTGGATCGAATTTATGATACTTGTCATCGAGAGTTAGAAAACTCTTCGTTAGACCATCAATAAAACCATTTGGAAAAACAATAAAAACAAACTGTCCTATATGCTGAGACAGACACCAAAGTGTACTTAGCCTTACAAACCTTTATGGAAAAACCACATTTGATCCCAGAAGCGAAGTTTTCAAGGTTATCTATTCAAGTCGATGAAACGTAGGAAGATTGTTTGATATTCCATGACGGGTTACGACCATATTTTCACTCGGTTATTGCCAAGAATACGATTAATGTGTCATTTTGTACTTTATTTCTCTTTTCCCTCCTGCCCTTTTCTTAACGGTAATTCATTTCTCGTGCGCTAAAAACGGATGCTCCACAAGTAGACAACGGCGATTTACATTTTTTAAATAGAAACCAGATTACGTTTAAGATACCTGAAGTAAATCTAGCCTTTAAAAGTAAATGTATGTTTGACAAAGAGTTTCACAGCGTGGCCTAAGTACTTAACTGTGAAGCATACTGCTGTCACGAAAATGGGCAACAAACAACGAGAGCTTCTGGGTAACATCTTGTAAATCATGATTAAAATTAACAAGGACGTTTAATCTTGAATTAGAAACATGGCTTTTACTTTATTCTGTGTAAGGTTTCTTTATAATTCAGTTTTGGAAATAAAGAATGATTTATAGAAAAAATGGATAACATCGTCTATGGCTTTAAAAATTTTATGTTCTTGAGATTAAACACAGCAATTTAAAAGATTTTGAAAATTAATTATTTACTTTAAAATACCATTTCCTTTCCAAAATTCATTTTTTCGCAAATTAAAATGTTATTTAAAATATTAGCTGCGAAGTGCATTTCCAGTTTCTCTGGCCCTCTGGCGGTTTATGAGGGTAGTTTTATGTTGTATGCACTTAAGAAATGTGTATTTATTTAGTATCTGCACAAAATATGCATCATGCTTATTCGTCCACAATCTATTTGTAACCATTGATCCAGTAGATAAGACCACTAAGCACTAGAGATGGAGAGCACCTCTCTTTTATGGGACTGGATCAAAATTGCTCGCTCGCAGAACTTCAGTCAGGTTTTTTTTTTATGCCTCACTACACACTAGCAAAAACCTTGATTAAAAGCATTGGTAACAAAGAGTGAAGCAATAGCGATTAGTAAGGATAGAGCGAAGAACGAAAGAATCGACTGAGCAGTGGGATCGGAAGAATCGACTCAATCAAATGCTGACTCTCTATACTGATTTCTTTCAGTTGTAGTTTTGAAATTCCCGAAAAACCTTCTTTTTTTTCATAGACCCAATAATAAAATTCTAGAATAAAAAACTGTTCAAAAAGTTGGGGAATGACAAAAATTAAACTCACATTTAACGTGGGGAATAAAAATTCTTTTCTCCTCTATAATGGAAATCGAAATTCCTGGCACGCTTTCAACAATAGATCTGCTCTTTTTTTAACGAACCTCTTATTTACTCGCTAAGTAAGGTGAAAGAGTTCGTGAACTAATAACACATCTCTGTTCCTGGCTTGCTTCCAACAAGAGCTTTCCTTGAACTATAAAAAAGCTCCCCCTCCGATTTATGGAATCAGCTGTCCAAACGCTCAATAAAGTGAATCGGTTCTTTGAACATTTCCAAATTTCGTAGCGGATCTTCCAACTATATTTAAGCATTGTTGCCTTTAGAGTATCGTTGGACCTCAGGTTCGAATGCTGGAAAAAGCATGAATGCTCGTAAATGAGTAGTGCGTTGATGCCATGAAGGGTTTGAAGCACTTTTGACCCAATATTTCCCCCAAGAGGTTGTGCCAGTGGATGAGTGAAAAGAAACCCTTGCATAGCGTTCTCCAGTGTAAACTTCATTAAAACGGAGATGAAACTAGGCATACTGCCATCTGTAGTGTGTCCCTGGCCTTGGGCAACGACAATCTTGCTTTTAGCCATGATAAATTCATTGACTTTATGTAAGTAAATATCTAAAGATCAAGGAAATAAAGAATATCAAACGCAAACACTAAATGCTGGTACGGATTTCGCTACGATACCTGAAATGGCTAGTTGTGTAGAATTTCCGTGGTCTTCACCAAGGCCAGTAGACAGACAAGATTATGCTCATTCAGGGTCAGATTTTCCTCTTTCCAAAGCTCGAGATAGTGACATGCCTTATCTTTCTCCTCAGTGATGTCACTTTACTCATAGCGGTGGGAGAAACAAAGACAAAATTGTTTCTTTGAGCAGACTTAGGAACTCAAGGATGTCGACATCACATGCTGGTTGACTTTGCTAGAGAAGAACAAACCTTGTAGTATAGTAACCTTGGTTTCTTTTAAACATGTTCCATTAATGGGGGACATTTTGTTTCCACTAAAGTCCCTTTTCAGGCCCGTAAGAACAGACAGTCCTTCGTTTACATTGCACTAAATAGTAAAATATACTACTGATCATTAATTTTTATTG